AGACTCTGGAACACGAACCGCACTGCAGCAAAGAGGCTGTGCTGTTAGCACTCAGTCTTTGCTGCGGGCTTCCTGGCAGGGGTGTGTGTGGGAGTGGGGGAGTGGGTAACCTCCCAGGCAAGGAGGTCCAGTCTGCTGAGGGCAATTCCCTGGTGAAGAGCAGTTGTGAACTGCAGGCAGTCAACGCCCTTAGCAGTGGAGGGATGGGTGCCAGATACAGAGCTGGCAGGAGCTCCACAGCACCTAGTTACTGCAGGAACCCATGAAGACGACACAAAAGGCACGGTCAGAAGCACTCAAGGAGAACTGAAGACCCAGCGCGGGGTGTTGTCACGGGATCCAAGAGAAGAGTCTCAAGGGAGGATGGCAACTATCAAATGCAGTCGTGAGGGCCGATCTCCAAGAGCAGCAGGGGCTCTAGCAACCAAGAGGTCACAGGTGAGCTTGCTAGAGAAGTTTCAGGGAACTTTTGAGATGTGTGCTGTAGGGCGTCGAGGATGGCGAGTGAGCAAGGAAAGACGGTGAGCGTGGGCAGTTTCCTCGGCCCAGGAGTCCGCATGAGAAGGAATGGGGAGAGGTGGCCAACAAAGGGTGGGGATGCGGGCTGTTAGACCTCACAACCCTAGGGCCTAAAGCTCCACACTCGGGGAAGATACAGGAAGGTACAGGGGCCACCTGATGAAGTCCCACCCAGAAGAGAAGGAGGTAGGGGTGTCAGGGGCTGGGGGAGGGGCTGGCCCTGACTGGAGAAAGGACGCCACATCCTCTGGGCCTGGACAGAAGAAGATAAGCCCGGGGGAGGGTGGAGGTAGGGTTGTGGGTGGGGGAGCAGGTGGGGGGTCTGGGTGATAGTTGGGTAATTTGCTTAGAGTGGGATGGGCGTGGTTGAGCAGGTGGCTGGAGTACAGGGACGTGGGTGGACGGGGGCGGGGGAGGAGACCATGTTCTGAGGTCTCGGTGAGACTAGAGACACTGCTTTGTCGTGGCATCCACCTGTGGGACTGAGTGACTTTCCCCAACAGCACCCTATGGCCTTATGTGGAGGGACAGTCATCGGATTCAGGGTGGGGCTTTGAGGGGTGGGTTTCAAAGAACAGAAACCCAAGATGACGCAGGAGCTGGAGGATGTGATGTGTGGCCCCACACCCGGGGGCTGCGACCTGCACGCAGCCCTGAGCCAGGCCCTCCTCGGGCTTTTCCCGTGGACTTCTTAGTCTAGGCCAGTCCCTGGGGAATCTAGCGGGGCGGGGTGGGCAGGCCTCCACGCAGCCTGGCCAGGCCCCCCCAGGCCTGTGTTTAGCTGCACTACGGGTTTCAGGCTCTGCAGCTGGAATGCCTGGACGGTTTGCTTTTTATGCAAAGTTAGAGGAGCATACCGCCCTGCCTCTCCCTCCCCACCCCCTGCCCACTTCCTGCCTTCAAGGCCATGGCATTCAAACTTTTTGTTTTCAACCACAGCCCACAAGTAAGAATTAATTTCACATCATGATTCAGCACACACACACACACACACACACACAAACTGCAACGCATGTTTCATGATCAATCTCCACCCTTGCTCTGTGTTCTGCTTAGTCCTCATCTAAATGCTGGTCACAGCCCAACTGGGCTTTCATAGGTCCCTCCACTTGTGGGGAAGCACTGCCCTAGAGTCGACGGGAGGCTGGGGTGGGCCCTTCTCACTCATGCTACCCACCGGGGTGTCTGCTCTCAGAGAAAATGCTTCCGGCCCTCGTGATGCTGGCAGAAGGCAGTCAGTGCCTGCGGCTTAGCAGTGACCAGGATTCCATTTTGTTTTTTTAAGTTTACTTATTTATTTTGAGAGAGAGAGAGAGAGAGAATGCAAGCAGGGGAGGGGCAGAGAGAGAGGGAGAGAGAGAATCCCAAGCAGGCTCCGCACTGTCAGCACAGAGCCCGATGCAGGGCTCGAACTCACGAACCGTGAGATCATGACCCAGGTAGACACGAAGTCGGACACTTAACCGACTGAGCCACCCTGGCGCCCCAACAGGATTCCATTTTTTTAAAAAAATTTTTTAAGGTTCATTCATTTTTCAGAGACAGAACGTGAGCAGGGGAGGGGCAGAGAGAGAGGGAGACACAGAATCTGAAGCAGTCTCCAGGCTCTGAGCTGTCAGCACAGAGCCCGACGCGGGGCTCGGACTCACAGATGACGAGATCGTGACCTGAGCTGAAGTCGGCGCCACCCAGGATTCCATTTTTAATGTCAGTTTTTCCTTCCCCCCTCTCCTTCCATCTCCCACTGAAAAGAGAAACTGGCCACCCTGGAGAAGCCCCAGAAGCACCCATATCCCCCACTGCATATTCCCCCCCCCCCCCCCCCACACACACACACACTTAGGGGACCTGCACACTCTCCTAACACACATTCCCACACACACTCCAGGGGATATATTTTGGGGAGCCTGCTAGCCCCCACTTCTTTCTTTGAGGATAGTTAGGACAGTGGCCCAGGTAGGTAGTTCTAGAACCCCATGTAAAGCGCAGTCACAGAGAAGAGAAAACCCAAGGTCCCCTAATAGGGTCGGGGGCGGTGGTGCTGGGGAGTAGGGTGGCCAGAGGGAGACGGTGAGAGGGATAGCCCACGAGGAGAGTGGCTGAGTCAGTGGTCCAGCTCTTCATTCTGGCTGCTTTTGCACAGCACCCTCTGGAGCTTGGCACGAAGAGGTTCCCGGTCTGTAAAGCCAGAAAATCCGCAAGGGGCTTGCTCTCAGAGCCCCGGCCAGCATGGCACACGTTCCCTGAGTCCCCAGCAGCCCGTACGGGGCCTGGCCCTGCTCAGGGTCCCCTCCCCACCTGGTTGTCCCACTGTCAGGAGCGGGGCCTGCCGCAGATCAGGATCCTGCCGGAAGAAGGCTCTGGGCTCTGAACATGCTCACCTGGCCACGCCAGTGTCTCCTCCAGGGACACCCGAGGTAGGGGCTCCTCCAGATCAACACCAAACCACCTGCCTGCTTGCTTGCTTGCTTGCTTACTGTTTCTGTTTTGTTTTCGTTTTGCCAGGTGATCAGGCAGGGGTGGTGGTTTAGAAGCAGAAACAAACCCCCAAACCGCTCCTTAAAGTTCACAAAATAGCTAATTCGCCAAACCTTCGTTTTTTGTCCATTTATTTAGAAAACAATTAACATGGGCAAATGAGATACCTCAGTGTTACAACAGAGTATAGAAATGTCTAGCAATAGTCAAATAATTTGATCTTTAAATACAAAATAACCACATGAACACCTAATATACAGGTTTCATCTGAATACATATTTATTAGATAAATATTAGAGGTTGTCACATCATCTAACTACATACAGCTTTGCAAGACTAGAAATCACAATTAGGTTTCTGACCAGTTTAAAGTTTGAAATGGTTGCATTGTACAGAGATGTACAAAGACGATGACAATGTCTGTGGGGGTTACTTCAGGCTGCGCTGTGGGTGTGTTTATGTGTGGACATGTGAATCACCTGCAATCATGATATCAAAAATTATACAAAGTATGAATTTGGTTACAATTTTCGTCTGAAATCCCCATTTCTTTTCATTATTTCCATAGCACCCTAAAAATACACAGGTGGCAGGACCAGTACACCGGAAGCTAAATAGTACATGGAGGTAAAATAAAAAACAAAACAGAACAAAAATGCCTTTCCACACAGGGGCAGAGTATATTACATAAGACAAAGGTGGAGAGAGACCTCACAAACGCTAACAGGATCTAGTTTTTTTCACGTTAAGATGGAGTTTCAAGCCTTTTTTTTTTGTTTGTTTGTTTGTTTCGTTTTGTTCCGTAAAATAAAAACAATACACATTCCAAGGGAAATGAATGCATCTGTTAACGTGTCTCTATTTCTCATTTACATATGTACACACGTCCCTTGAGTCGCTGCTGCTGACATCATCCTGTCTAGATGGTCAGGTCGAGGGAGCAGACGTGTAGCTCTCTGGGGTGGGGGTGTGGGGGGGGGGGGGTGGTTAGGGCTTTCATTAGGGAGGAAGGATTAGAAGTGTCTTCAAAAATAAAATGGCTACAGGGAACATGATACACGGGTAAAGCTTCGAACCAAGGAGATGGGGTGATTGCCTGTACTGGGGCCTTCCCGCCTGCCCGCTGGCGCCCTGTCCGTCTTGTGGAGTGGCAGCAGAAACGTGTCTACGGCCTGGGTGGATGCTTGTCACAGAGAAGTGGCTTGCTGAGGCCTCGTTTTTGCTGAGGTTACTTATGGCTCCAAGTAGTCGTCCAAAAGGATGAGGGAAGCATCCCCCCGCCCCCGGAGTTCAGAAGCGCCCTTGCTTGGGGAGGCTGTCGTCACCCGAATCCGTCACCAACCGGGGCTCTCTCCAGCCCCGGGCACCTTTCTGCCTCCCTCACCCCCCTGGCCTGGCTCCAAAATCACTCCGGGAGAGGACGTTCCCGGAGCACGGGCTTCAGGCACCACGGTTCGGGAAAGCTCTTTGTCCAACTTGCTGGTGGAGGTTCGCTTGGGAGGGGCCCCAGGAAACCTGCCTCGGGTGCCGAGCCCTGGCTTCCTCAGAGGTGGTTGAGGGAGGTGCCCAGAGCCCGGGCTGTGGGGAGCAGATCGACCCTCTGTACTAGAAAGCTGTGGGTAGGTTGGTGAGCAGAGCAGGGACACCCGATAAGAACCAGAATGGACCCCAGGCCTTTCTGGGAAAAAGTAGCCACAGCAGGAAGCAGGAACTTCTAAGGAAGGCATTTGTAAGTCTGTCTGGGGCAGAACATTCCCAGATGGCCGAACACAGGAGCGTGGCCACCTGCCAGGGCTATCGGCCACTGGGCAAGGACGGCCGCGTGCTACCTGGCATCGTCTCGTCCCCACCAGCCGACTGGGGATGGCTCTGAACAGTGGGCGGCCTGCTCGAACTCACGGCACAGCCACCCACGTACTTTGTCCCTTCATCTGTACAAATAGCCCTGGTTGCTTTTTTGTTTTTGTTTGTCGTTTTTTAAAAAAAAGGACTCGGTCTTGTTGTTGAGTCAAGGTCTTTTAAAAACACCAGCAAAGGCTATAACCAGGTCATGAAAATGTTGGATATTATCAAAGACAATACTAAAATATTCACAAAGATATTTACAAAAGCAATTCTCAAAATAATTGATTTGCATACTGAACACCACGCTGTTTGAAAAAACCTCGACAACGGGACAAAGGAAAAGGGGGCGGGGACAATGGCAGCTTTCCTACAGAAAACCTTGTGCCGGCTGTCTGGTACAGTGACTGGAAATCGACAGCTGGGGCCACCGTTCCGGTCAAATCCAGAGGAGTGCTGGGGACCACCCGCCACAGGGGGAGACGGAGCTCGAGAACACGGACAGTGGACGGGAAGCAGGAGACCCCAGGCAGCAGCAGGGAGGGGCGCAACGAATTCACAGACGTGACCCAAGTGACGGCCCAGCAGCATCACAGGCCATGCGGCTTAGGGGGACAGAGGACCCCCAGACGAAACGGACGCCCCACAAGCTACCCGGGAGACTCCGAGAGCAGTAAGCCGGATGGAGCGAGGCAGTGGAGGGAAAGACCAGAGGCTGCTTCTGCTCCGGTGAGCAGGAGTGTGGGCAGCTTTGCAGGGCAGGGGGACACAGAGGGAAGGAGAGGCCGGCAGCCAAGTGCGGCACAGAGACACCACGTGACGCTGGCGGGCACATCCCGGCACGTGTGGTGACGGACTGGGGTGCAGCTGGGGCAGCCTTGAGCACAGGGACAGCCGGGACGGGGGGGGGGGGGGGCCGGAGAGGTGCCTGCGCCATGCCCGCACAGGCGCCTGAGCCTCCCCCGCCCCTCCACCGGCCCACCCGGCTGTCGGGGCGGACACAGCAGAAGTGGGACAGAGGGAAGCAGGTGTCCCCCGTAACAGTCTGGGAGACGTGGGTGGGGGCAGGAGGGAGGAAACAGGACGCGTGGAGAGAAATGGGTTGCTTGCCGTCCAAGTCTACCGTCCCCTTTCTCAGATGACTCCGTAGCTTAATTAATCGTCATTGAAAAACAGGGAGTGGCTCGGAGCAAAGTTGTAAGTTGCCGTTCCTATCGGACTCCGGCTGGCGGCATCCCCCTGCCCCCCAACTAAGGGCACAGTAATTTTGGCTGGGGACTCTCTCCCTCTGCTCCCCGAGGCCGGGCCCCGGACTGAGTCCAGAGGTCATGGGGCCAGCTGCACTGTCCTGGCTCTGAGGAGGCCCTGACCCCCTTTCCCACCGGTCCCCAAGCAGGAATGGCACACCCTCTCTCGAACACAGAATCTTGTCCTTTTTTTCTCTGCTTTCTGAGAGAGAGTGTTTACAGGGTATCTTGGCTTAGAGGTCAGGGGTCAAAGCGACGACCTTGGCCCCTGAGAGAGTTCTCTTTCCCAGAGGTTTGTGCTTTTCTGTGGTGGTGGTGGTGGTGGTGGTGGTGGTGGTGGTGGTGGTGGGTGGGCCATTCTCACTGCCGCCAACCGTCACTGCTCCTCCAAGGCTCGGGGCCTGCCTGGGTCTCGGGGCGCCTTCTCTCAGGCTCAGTCACTTGAAGGAGGCTCTGGGCCAGGAAGCAGGGAGGCAGGGTTACAGTTTAGAAACCGGAAGAACCTCGGGGGGCACTGGAGGGTCGTTTGGAATCAGCACACACAGAGGGACCAGGAAGGCTTTGTCAGCATGTGCCCTCTCGCCGGGCCGGTTCCCCACCTCGAGGCTCATCTTCAGGGCCTGCTCTGGGCACGGGCACCAGACCCACACAGCCTTCACAGTGCACCCTCCCGCCCCTCCGCTCTGAGAAGGCCGCAGCAGGGGCGGTCTGAGGGCATGGGCTCCCAGTGGTAAAGTGTGTGTGGGACAGACGGGGAAGGAGGCAGAGTGGGGGGGGGGGATGGCCCCAGTGGAGGGGTGGGCTTCAGTTGTTCTCAAAGAGAGACAGGAGGTCATCGTTACTATTGCTCGGCAGGTCGGGGGGATCCAGGTACGAGAGGAGCTCATCGGGATTTGTGAGTTCTGGAAGGAGCTGGAAAAGAAGTACAGAAGCCCAGATGAGGTGTCAGCTGAGGGGCTGGGCTGGCCCAGGGTGAGGACTGCAGGGGTGCCCCCAAGGACTGCCGGGGTGCGTGCTTCTCTACCTGCTTCCCGGGGTCCTGGCGGGACAGGGGACACTAACCGTGCTGGCTGGCCTCAAACGCGCCCAGGCCACTGGGCTAGCCTGGGGCACACCCGCGCTTATTTCCAGTGTGGGGGAGACAGGCCCTCGGCCCGCCAGCCGGGAAGGCTCGTGGCAGGTCAGGGGGCTTTCTCTTGATTCCGGGCTTCCTCTGGCCCCAAGACCCTGCCAAGAGGAAGCCTGGGTCACGAAGGCCTCCCAGTAGAAACCACATGACTTTGCACGTAAGGCCGGTGGTCCCTGTAGCTCTCGGCACCTTGGACCTCCCCCCAGGAGCTCACTGCTCCCTGGTGAGCCTATGACCAGAGGGCGGCACGGAACCATCCTTCCCTGCGGCCCCTGGGCTGTGGCTGCAGACTCTCCCTACCCTCTACTGTGAGGTCCTCGGACTCCTTTTGTCACACCGGAACCTCATGAACCTAAGAGCACCCTCACTGGACAGGTCTGGGGAGGAGAGCTGGGGGAGAACCCTAGATGGCCGCACAGCCAAGGAAACCCCATTCACCATAAAGACTGCCGCTGCCTGCCGGGGCAGAGGGCGACCACAGTGGGGCTGAGGCGTGGAGAGGGCAGAGCAGGTCTCCTCTCTGGGAATCTAGAGCCTAGGGGCGTGGGATGGGAGGGGCAAGTGCCACGTGTCCCTTCCCGGCCCACCCTAGCCGGCTATCCGGCCCCCATCACTCAAGGGCTCCTCCTACCCCGCTTTCCAGACCGGTCGGGCCTCAAGGTGAGAGACCCCTGAATCTCAGCCACCCACTTCTGCCCCAGTAGTCCTGGCACGACCCGAGGCTGGTCCTACTGTCACCCCTCACCGGGGCCTCTCTGAGTGAGCGATGGAGCAAAGCGGCAACACAGGGCGTGGACAACACACGGACAGGAAACTGGACACAGACATACCAGCGAGACAGACAGAGGGACCCTGTCACTCCAGCCCTTCCCCTGCCTCAGGCCAGAGAGTGTGGCGAACACTGAGATGGCAAGCTTGATGTGGGGGTGGGGGCAGGGAGGGGGTCGGAAGGAAGAAGGGCAGGGGGCCTTCCTGTGCTTCCTCCAGGACCCTGGCCCAGAGGGACTCTGTGAGGGCCTGTGGGGGAAGGTGGGGTGGGGCAGGGAGGGGCTGCAGGACTGTGGCCGAGGGGACCGAAGGGCAGGTGCCGGCAAGGTGGGGAGGGGGGGGGGGGTGGGATGCTGGGACCCTTGGTGAGGCTTCCCCACTGTGGGATTTCCTGGTTCTGGAGCCAGGGGAGGCAGGCTGGCTAGGCCCACCCACCACCCACCCACCCCCTCATAGCTGCACCTCCTCCACCCTGGGCCTTGAGCCCTCGACACCCACCCCTGCTCTCGGGCAGGTCCCAGCGCCAGGCCTAGCCCCAGGCCGGTGGTGACCCCAACTTACATCCAGCGAAGGCTCCGGCATGTCGGATGCTCCCTGTGCTCCGGCCTGACCCTCTAAGGCTGAGGAGGGGTTAAAGGTCAGGTCGCTGTGTGGATGGTTGCTGGGAGCGGCCTGTGGCGGTTGCCGGGGAGGCTGGGAAGGAGGAGGAGGAGCCCCACTGTGATGTAATGGAGGCCCTGACTGGCTGCTGGGGTGTGGGACGTGCAAACCTTGTTGTATGGAGGGATGGGGCTGGTCAGAACTGCCAGCGTGTGGCATCTGTGGAGGAGGAGAGAGCAGGAGAAAAGAAATGTGAGGTGACGAGGTACAGCAACGAGATGCCTGGAGAAATGAAAACCAAACAAAACCAGGAAAATAACAAACCCCCAAAACAAAGCCACCCCCTTACAAAGCTCAATGCTTTTTGTTGTCGTTGTCGTTTTGCGGAGAAACAAACAAAAAAAGTCCTCCCCTGAGGCTGCCAGTCAGGGAGGCTGTGGAGAGGGAGGCGGGGCCGGGGCCTCTGAGGCCATGTGGGGGCCGGGAGGGAGGTGGCCCGGAGCTCTGGGACAAGCAGACACTGAGAGCATGGTCCAGGCCCCCCGCAAGCCCCTCTGCCTCTGTAGCCCGGACACCATCACCACAATGAACAGGAAGGGCAGAATGGAGAAGCAAATGGGCATGTTTCCAAGGAGTGGGGAGGCGGGGAGGGTGACGCTGGCGGCGTGGTACGGCACACCCCTTCCCCCCACCCCTGCTCGCTGCCCCCCCGAGGGCCAGGGGCAGCGGAGAGCAGACACGGACAGACAGCATGGGCAGGCGTGCAGCTCAGAAAGGGGTCTGCGTCCCACAACGGGCCCTGGCCGGGGGGGAGGGGGGGCGATGCTGGACACAGAGGCACCTTCCAAGGGCCCGAGGTGGCAGCGGCTGGCCCCTTGGGACCAGCCCTGCCCGCTGCCCAGGGTAGGGCAGAAGTGAGCCCCGAGTCAAAGGGGCAGAGCAGGGCTTCTCCGCATTGCCGGACCCTTCCTGTTGGCCACCCACCTAGGCAGCTGTAGGCCGCGTCCCCGGGTGCCGAGGAAGGCAGGCACCTCTGTGCCTCGCTGGGCGCTAGGGCTCACAGAGGAGGTGCCCCGGTGAGGCAGGAAGTGCTTCTCTAACAGATCCACTAGAGGCCCGTGCTCTCCTGTGTGCACGTGGACTGAAACACCAGGGCTGTGGCCGGGCAGGGGGCCTTATGGTGTATGACATCGAAACTTCCCTGCTGGTCTGGGTGCTATCCCAAGCAGCCTCCCTTCAGAGCTCAGATCTTGGAGCACAAGTCCACACTCTCAGCCCACAGCCAGTGCCCCAGCAGGTCCCCCAACCGCACTCACACGATGCTAGCCAAGGGGAGCCTGACCCGCAGGCTGCCGGTGAGCAAACGTCTCCTTGGTCTTTTTATACCTTCCTACCCATCCCATCTTCCAGGCCATGCACACATTTCGTTTTTCCTTCGTGGGTTTCGAAACAGCAGCCTGATCTCCAGACCCTAGTACCTCTTCCTGTTTCTCCTAAAGCTGCTCCCAGGCCTTGCTGGGAGCCTCTGCTCAGTCCAGCCAGCCCCAGGCAGCACAGGGCCCCTTCCATCCCGGGACCGACTGTACGACTGTGGGACGGTGTGGGGGGGATGCACACGAGGCGGGAAGGACCAGGAGAGGCTGGAAGGATGGCCACCATGACTGTCAGTAAGAGGCCAGCTTGTGACTCCCACCCATGCCCGTGGGTGCCCCACAGTGCCCATTCTGGGGGGCAGGGAGTGGCTCCACACTCCTGGAGCAGCCCAGCCCAGCCCAGGCAGACAGTCTCTAGATCTGCTGACAACGGCTGTCCCCCTCAGGCCCAGAGGGACGCTCTGAGACCTGCTGATACACCGGTCACCTCTCCTGCAAGGAAGAGTCCTTCAGTGACCCAGCACCTGACGGGAGCCTCTCTGCCAGTGTCCGCGCACGTGGGCATCCAGCTGGTGCTCAGCCAGGGCCAGGCTGCCCTGGCGCGGGGAAGTTTATCCGTGACTGTACTATCCCTCTTCGCAGCTGCACTTCTGGGTCGCCGTCTAGCGAAAGCCCAGAAATAGGGAAGGACGGTGCATATCTAGGGAGCACCCCTGGGCGGCGGGGGTGGTGGTGGGGGGGGGGGGGCAGGCTGTGAAGTCAACTCACAGGCTTAGGGCCCTCTGAAAAGACCCCAGGTGGCAGGGCTCAGAAAGTAAGCGACATCCTGCTGCCGATGTCCAGTGCTGGGACCTCTGTGTGTGACAGGTGAGCGTGTGTGGGGTGTGATCTGGGTGACTCCTGGGCATGGACTGCTGAGGAAACGGGGAGCTGGGAGAGAGGCCCCCAGAAGTCAGAAGCTCCACGAGGCAGAAAGGAACTTGAGAAAATGTGGCTGAAGCCCCGTGACAGCAGCTATGTCTGACTTGGCATTCTGGAGTTCCATAGGAAAGATGCTGCAGTGTCCCTCCCTCTCCCAGAAGCCTTCCGGTTAACAGCCACTCTTGCTGAGAATCGGGTGGCTCGGGACGGGACAGCTTCTGGCAGAGCCAACCCCGTGTGGATCACAGTGCGATCCCAAGGCCCTTCCTCCCAGGCCACATGGGGGAAGATGGGGGGCCTGCAGCCTGGCCTTCCGGTGCAGGCCCGCCCAACCCCACTGCCGGGCCCTCTGCGACTGCCCCTCCTCCTGAGGGGAGAGACCAGGGACAGACAGAATGACTGAGGCCTGACTTCAGCCCTCAGGCCCCGGTTTCCCCAAACACCCCAACCGTGCTGTCTCCATCCGAGCGCTGCCAGAACCTTTGCTCCGTGGGCACAGGGCCTGTGTCTGTCTTGCTCACACCGGGTACAAAACCTGGCCCAGAGCAAAGGCTCGGGAAACGTGTGCTAAGTCAAACAGAGCCACGCAGTACTCACTGGAAGAGGACCTGGGGTGGCCAGGCCTCTTACCACTGTTGGGTGTGTTAATAGGTGACACGGGACGGGGCGTGAATATTCTGAGGCTGAGCAGGCGGTGGCGATATGCAGAAGACTCAGACCCCTGGGGAGCAGGTGCCTAGGTGTGAGACAAAATTCTAGACAGCCGGGGCTACGGTAGGTCAGCATCTGAGTGTGCGTGTCAGGGAGAGAGGCTGGTGGCGGTGGTGTGTGTGGGGGTGTGGTGGGCATGTGTGGGAAGTGGGCGTGTGTACGTGCAGTGTGTGTGCAGACAGGAGCCTGCAGCTTCCCCCATCTGAGAATCCAACGTCCTAGGTGAAAGCAACGTCCTTGGCCAAGTCCAAGGACACCGACTCAGCCTCGGTCAGGCCTCTCACTTCCTTCTGAGCCCCCAGACCCAATTGGCAGTCTTCCCCTTTGCCTGGGAGGGAGCTAGGCAAACATCAGAAAGGTCCTTGGGGGAAGCCCTCTGCTCCCAGCCGCCCCACGCGGAGGAGGGGGGTGAAGGGGGAGGTAGGGAGGTCAGGACGATGAAGAGGTACTCACAGTTTCCTGCATGGGGTGACTGAGGGGTTTCTCGAGGGCGGCCATGTTGTTGGGCATGTCCGGGGGGTGGGAGAGCTGGGGCGGCCCGTGCATGAAGTCGTTCATGGACGTCCCGCCAGGGTTTCCGTGGGGGAAGTCAAAGTTGCCATGGCCCTGGTAGTTGTTGCCTGGGGAGAAAACAAGATGGCACCGGGGCAGTGTCACCCAGAGGGAAGGCAGCCACGGGGTGGGGGGAGTGGGGGGACCCGGAGTATGTAAGTTAAGATGTGACTCCTGTTCTGGCTCCTGTGGCCTTAGACGGAGCAGCAATACAGCCTCCTCTGGTGGGCCTCAGCACCCCAGGACCTGAGCTGTTTTACAGTTACGAGCAGGAACAGAGTATGAGCAAGAGGTAGGCCAGGCTCCTGAGGGCAGGGGAAGATGATGCCCCAGTCTGAGCCTTCCTCAGGATCTGCTGCGCCAGACCCCAAGACCTGTTTCCTCACTGTCCCCCACATGGCTGCACGTAGGTCAGTGGGAAGACCGCAGCCCAGAGTGGGAGATTAGGATTTCAAGTCCACAAAGAGAGCTGCACCAGCCTCGAGGTGACACCATTGGAAGCCAGCTGTCTGGCCTCCCTGGCCCTTGCTCCCTCCCCAACATGGCCATGGAGAAGGATCAGAGGACCAGCATACTGGAAGGCTGTGGGATCCTGCTATGTGGGTTAACCTCTCCGGGCCTCTAATCATCCAGGAGCCTGGATCCTGCAGGGAGCTGCCATTGCCAGTGTTTAAGGGGGCTGGGTACTTTCTAGGAACCCAGGGCAGTACAGCATAGCTTGGTCTGGACAGCAGGGAGAGTGAGAGGGCAGGGATGGTGAATTTGGTGGCCAGAGACCCCTGGAACTCTGTGCCTGGAAGGATGGGAGCATTTCAGGGACCGTGACAATACAGATCTCACAGAGAAACACGGAAGGGCTGGGGGAAGGGCCAAGAACTCCAAGTGGGAGTGTTCTGTTAGTGCCCCCAGCAAAGCAGGTTCCAAAGAAGGCAAGGAGCTGTCCCCTGGACTCCAGGAGGCAGAGCCCACTTCTCAGCAGGGTGCTGACCCATAGGGCTGGACGGAACCAGGTGGCAAAGGAGACACGATGGCGTTGAATGGGCCACCATACCCCCAAGTCCAGTGACATGGGTTGTGTTTTGGGGTGTATGTTGCCTCTACCTCTTCACACCACAATCCCCCTGCACCTGTCACGTGAGCCCAGAGACCCTGTACCCCTGCTGGGACTCTCCCACCTCATCCAACGTCACCCACCTTGGTTGCTGTAATCGTTGGAGTTGGCGCCCCCCGGTGGAGGCGGGAGTGGGTAGGGGGATGGGCCAGGGCCCAGGGCTGCGATCATTTCCATGACGTTGGGCATGATCATCTGGCTGGGACTCATGGTCTTGAACCGCTTGGAGGGGATGCCATCTGGGTCATCTTTAATGTGCAGGTCTGACTTGATGGGGACTGGCCGCCAGCTGCACGTGGGGTCGATGGTGACCTCTTCAAACTCGGAGCTGGTGGGGAGCAAGGGGGCAGAGCTGAGGTCACGCGGTACCAGGCCTGGGATACAAGGGCTTCTAGCCCAGGCAGACACTGAACTGTCCCTGCCTAGGCCCCTGTCCCCATCCTTGCCACGCTCTGCCATATGACAGGGGTGTGAGGGATTTTTACATCTGTTTGAGAGACGGGGAGGGTGAGGTGAGGAAAAGCAAGTGGCTGGACACAGGACAGCTGGCTCCAAGGCCTCCCGCCCAGGAAGTGGCTGTCCGGGGCACTGTCTTGTTCTGGCTGAGTTTAGTCCTTTCCAGAAAGTTCATTCGCCCCCAGATAGAAAAGTTCCTGAGGTAGAGTCACAGAGGTGAGAGCTTGGGTTGGCGAATGGTCTGCAGCTGGGGACAGGGTGGGGTATCAGGAATGTCCCCGTCTGGCCTCCTCCAATCCAGGTGGGCATTCCCCCACCCCCTCCATGTGCCCCGAGCTGGGGGGGGTGCCCACTTACTGTTGGATGGCGTTCAGGATGCCCCACATGTACTGATCCACCTCCAGGCCCTCAAGCAGAGCCGTTTTACTAGAAAAAAAGAGAAGGGGGCTTGGCCTTTGCTCTTGGAGCCTAGGGACTAGTGCATAGTGCACCCCTCCCCACCATGTCAAAGACTCTGCTTCTGCCACGGGTTACTACTGGAGGCAGTGACAGGAGAGCACAGCCTTGTGACAACTTGACACAAGAAGACCGCATGCGGCCCCTGTGCGCTGAGCTCCTCTGCCATGTCTGGGTTCTCTGTTTGGCTCCTAGGGCAGGAGGAGGTGCTAGACCCCAGACGGCAGGCCCAGATGGAGGCCAGTGAGGAAGGTCCCGCCGGGGTAGGTGTTACTCACTTGCACACAGGACACCGCCAGGTCCCTCTCTCACAATTCAGCTGTAGGTACGACTCCAGGTCAAAGCACTGCAGAGGCCGGGAGACAGACAGACAGACAAACAGATGAGAGGACGCGTAGGTGCAAGTGCCATCGTCTCTGGGACCCTTGTGAGGATCTCCCAGCAGGGAGGGAGCGGGGGGCGGGGAGACGGGGGCTGGGTTGTGGGGGCCGGCGATCATGAGGCCTTTCCCCTGCTCACATGGCTAGCCGGCCACGTTGAGTCCCTGCATGGCTCACTTCTCACACCACCCTTGTGCCCCATGGCCCCTTGCCTGTGTCCTCTCAGAAGGCTTCCTGGCTCACCCAACAGCGTGTCTCCACAGACCCTGACCCATGACGGCCTGGCTTCCCCGTCAGCCCAGCCCCGGCTCCGAGAACATATCCAGTCGAGTTCATCAGTACGTGTTGATGCCCACAACGTTCTCCCCGAGGGAAGCTCCTGCCCCACCACGAAGCCCTCCAGACCTGCTGTGTGGAGGGAGGGGCCGAGGCTTCACCTGGCTTGGCCCCCCAGCCTCTGCAGGAATGGCCACTCCCCCTCTTCTGGGACTTCTTCCTGAGCAGCCCCCACCCAGGGCATCCCACCCATCCAGGCTGCCCACATTTGCACAGTGCTCTATTAGAGCAACCCAGGCCACGACAGTCACTCATTCCACGGCCACTTCCTGAACACCTGTTTGGGGCCAGGTCCCAGGACACAGCAGTGATCAGGCAGAGGTGTCCCTGCCCTGGGGCTCCAGGCCAGCTGTGGCCGTATGTGCAGGACTTGCAGCTGGCTTCTGACATCTGTCAGGACTGGGACTGTCCAAATCGGTTCTGGGGTCCCCTGGGAACCTAGCCCTGAGCATGCAGAGAAGATGCTCGCTCAAAGGATGGACGGAGGCCGGAGGGAGTGAATACAACCGGCTGCTGATGGCCGCCGAGTCCTCTGGGGACCAGAAACAGGCCCTGCTGCCAGCCCTCCCGCCCCCGCCTGCCCCTCACCATCCCAGCCAGACGCCAGCCATCCTGCTCCCGCTCGAGCTGCACCTGCCAGGACCACTCACCTGGACGTGCTTGCAGTCATGACCTCGAGCAGGCAGCTGGATGCGCCGGAATGTGATGGGGCACTTCAGAGACACCTTGATGGCTGTCTGCTCCACGCCATCCTCTCCGTTGAGGGTCGTGTTGCCTGACGAGGCAGCCACGCTGCTGAAATTCCGCTTGACTGTGGGGCAGGAGGCACAGGTGGCTGAGGAGGACGGGGCCACCCTGCACATATCACACTCCCTCGTGTGGCTAAAACACACCCTGCTTCTCCACCGCCCCCCGGACACTGGGAGGTCCTGGGAATAACTAGCACACCCAGGCCTGGTCACAGGGGAGCTCGGCCCGCCGGGTGCCCTGGGCCACCCAGCTCTCTGGGACGGCAGCCCCCACGTGCGACGTGTGGAACGCGTGTGTCCCTGGAGCAGCCGCGTCAGCTCCCCAGTCTCTGAGGAACAGACCCCGCCTTCACCAGCACGGGGGACTTTCTACGGCACTTAAAGAAACACGGTCTGGCCCTTCCCACTGATTTTCTGGGTCAGTGGAGAGCCCTTCAGGCGCTCCCGTGCTCACTTCTACAAGGGTGGAGATGGGAACGGACAAGCGCCGGGCGGGGACGGAGGGCTCAGGAGGTGATGTGGCGAAGCAAGTCGAGCGGAGAGGCAGCGGTGCACCGCCCTGCATACTGCCCCCGAGTCATCACCTGGGTGCCTCCTCCAAAGGAGGGGACTCTGAGCCAAGACCCTGTCTCTAGTTTATACATGAGCTGTTGAGGTGGGGAGGCCGGTCCAGAATCCACCCCTGGGTGAAGATCCCCTTTGTCCAGTTCCTAGAAGTGATCTTCTAGGTGGTCACCTCCTCCAGGAAGCTTGCCTGGCCTGTCTACACCACGGTGTGTGGTTTTAATTTGCCTCACATCCTGTGCTGCGAGCCAGCTCTTCCATGTGAGGCAGGCCTCACAGCCCATGCTCATCTGATCACCCCCACAGCTCCAGAAGGAGGGACATGAGCTGGGGGGGCGGTGGGGACTGGTGCCAAGGAATGCTCGGGCCCCGGGGTGTGTGCATGGAGCCAAAGGCCGGTCCCGGTTCTCATTCCCTGCGCCCCCACACTCACTTTTCGTGATACAGTGCTCCGCGGGCAGGAGGCGTTTCTTGAGGAGGCCTTGCAGCACGGAGCGCACGGAGGGCCGGTGGACCAGCTGCAGCACGAAGAGGTGGGACTGCCAAGGAAAAGCGTACTCAGTCTCCACCCCAAGGCCCCAAGGCCCCCACGGCTGGCCCCACTTGTGCCCAGAGGCCCCTGGAGGACAAGCACAGGAAAGGGCCCATGATCCACAGTGATGCCACTCTAGAAGAGGGTCTCCTGAGGCCCAGGATGTGTCCTGGGACTTGTGAGCCTGGGGACCCGGGCAACGGTCACCACTTGGGGGACCGTTACCTGGGCTCTACGCTGACTCGGATGTTGAAAACCTCCTGGCATGAGTTATGGGACACCAGGCATGAGGACTGGAGTGGGCCTCACTTCCTAACCTTGCCTGGCACGGCTCCATATCATGTGTTCTCCACCTTTCCTGCCAGAGGGGGTCACCCCTGTCTTCACTCCTCCAGGAAGCCTTCCAGGACTGCACACCCCCACAAGCTCCTACAGGTTCCTCATTCTGACAGCATTCCCCATCCTGTGACTTCTGTCTCTCTGCTCATAAGGGCAGGATCAGTCATTTTCCTTCCTGTATGTCCCCCACCGAGGCCAGCAGAGCAGGACAGGCAGGCAATCTATTTCCCCACAGGTCCCTGGGCAAGCCCTGTGTGCCAGGCCCGGATCTCTGGGAGGACAGGAGTGTGGCTCAGATGTGGATCCAGAGCAGGTCACGGATCGGGGGGACACACACAGTTATTCCACAGCCCTGGGGCAACGTCTGTGAAGACGTGTTTCTGCAAGACCACTGCCGTGGCTGCGGGGATGAGGACAGAGACCCGCAGTCAAGGCTGCAGGCCAGAGGGGGACTCAGCCCCCCACGCCAGCCCCACCCGCACACTCACGCAGCAGCAGGCCGTGACGGTGATCTGGATGGTGTTGCGGCCCGGCTGGCACACGTGCTTGAGGTGCAGGGGCTTGTGGGAGGTCTTGTTGTCCCCGCGCTCGATGGTGAGGGGCGTGGCGTTCACGCTGACCTGCACCGAGGCCGGCCAGTTGGTGTTCATCTGCCGGTCCTCGTGGTGGTAGCACTTGAACTGCAGCTCCAGGTCGGACCTGAGGGGGTGCGGTGAGGCTCAGCTGGCTCTGCCCGGGGCCTCGGTGACGCCTGGCCACCTCGCCACAGCCCAAGTCCCTCAGGGCCACGTGTCCTCCGCTGGCACCACCGTCTTCGCCTCCCCGGGCTCTCCTCTCCCACTGTGGATGCTCCCCCTGCCCACATCCCCAGTCCAAACCCACCGCCACAGCCCAGAGTCCCCTGCACTGTTCACTCCAGCCATACCCCACAGCTCTGCTGGTCTCCTCCTGACTGCTCCCTGTAGCCCCTCTATCCTGTGCCCCAAGGATGGAGACAGAGGAAAGAAACGGACAGACAGTAATGTGACAAGACCAGCTAGGGGACTGATTATGTCCAAACCAGACTCCAGTTGGGAGCAGCACCCAGGTCAGCCGGCTCAGTGTGGTCAAGGCATCGAGTGAGCTGTGCGTGCGCACGTATGTGCCCAGGGCAGACCCGTCTCGTGCCTTTTAGGTGCTCACTGGGCAGCTAAAGGTTGCAAGTGTGAGTCCTGCCTGAGGAGGAAGGGCCGAGGGTGGAGACACCAGTGGGTCCTGGCATTCAAGAGAACTGGGTCTGAGTCCCAGCTCTGCCGCTTGCTGTGAGAAGCCCTGCAAGCTAATCAGCTTCTCTGGTCTCACTGCCAATGGCACAAGCATTGCCCACTGACAAGATCCAGGTAGTGACGTCATGTGTGGAAGGCACAGAACACAGGGCCTGGCCTGGCCAGCCACCTCCAGACCTTGTACTCGAGTGTGTCTGGACGTCTGAGCAGCTGCCTGGCTCGGCGGCCAGCCCCTCGCAACCTGTCGGACTTGCTGGTTCCGCCCAAGCCAGCCCCATCCCTCTGTGTCCCTGCTCTAGCCACAGCAAACCATGTTCAAGTTCCTCTTGCCAACTCAGGGCCTCTGCGTTGAATACTGCCTTATTGGCCTTTGGGTCTGAGCTAGCCACCTTTTCCTCTGGGAGGTCGTCCCCGATCAGTCTCTCAGGACCAGGGTGAATGACAGCTCTTCCCTGCTCTTAGGCCACCATACCTGCCGAGGCCTGTGACATCCCCCAAACCTTGCAGAGAGCAGGGCCCAATCAATGATGCTGAACGGGTGAAGGTGGCAGGCAGATGCTGCTATGATCTGTTCACGGCAATGCCTGGGCTAGGGAGGTCACCACCGGGGGCTTCCTCCCCCTGGCTTGAGCCTGTGTCCCTCGCCATGACACTCACCTCCACATCAGGGTCTGGTGGACTGTGGGCCGCAGGTGAAAGACGTGGTTGCTGACAGCCAGGTTGTGCTCCAGGCGGAAGGGCTCCAGCACCACGCCGTCCCGCACGGGGAACGTGAGCCGCAGCTCGTCATTGTGGTTGGCTGGGTGGGGAAGGAGCTGGATGAGCCCCGCGCCTGTGGCCGCACGGGCACACAGAAACATGGGCTCCAGGGCTGTGGGTGGAGCTCACTCGCCCATGCAACACGCACCCTTAACTGCACGCTCACGGGGCCACACAGGCGTGTGTGTAAACAGGGCCACAGAAGCTGGGCTCTTTGCCTGCGTGCCCACCAGGGAGCCTGTTGCTTCTGTCAGTCCACCCGACCCTATCCTGACCACCCCTGAGTCCCGTGTCCTACTCACCCTGGTTCTACTTCCCCTCTTATGCCCACCTACTCCCCACTCCAGAAGCGCCAGGCTTCTCCGCCCAGCCCCTCTCCACAGCTGGGAGCTGCTTTTCCTTCCAGCCTCCAGCTGCTCAGGAAGGTGATGAGGACTGTTGGCAGTACAGCCCTACCCCAAATTTCCCTTCTGGGTGGGGCTTATCTGCTTTCAAGCCCTCCTGCCCTTGCCACACACCCAGCCCCCACAGGCTGTCCAACTTCCAAGCCCCCTGGCTCCTGGCCCACTGCAGGGCCCTGGATGGAGCTGGCCAGACAGAGGGAAGAGGTGGGGCTGGCCAGACAGAGGGAAGAGGTGGGGCTGGCCAGACAGAGGGAGGAGGTGGGGCTGGCCAGACAGAGGGAGGAGGTGGGGC